TAAGCCTATATATATATATATATATATATATATATATATATATATATGTTTATATATGTCTATATATATGTTACAAATTTTGTGATTTCATTTTCTTCTGATAAAAAATCTGGCACATATATGAAGTAGAATATTATTTATCCCCAAAGAAAAATTTTTAGACCTCTTTATTCATGTTGTGCCCTCATGTGTGCGTGAGTTTATGTGTTTGAGTGCTGGGACCGTGACAGACGTGCAGAGGTCAGAGGATGTCTCTCAGAAGTAGACTCTCTCAACCATGTGGATTCTGGAAAGTGAACTCTGGCCACCAGGTTTGTTGGCAAGCACCTTTTCCTGGGGGCCACCTCAATTAAACCCTATGTATTATTTTTGTTTACCCAGGACATTTGTTACATTGGGAGTTTATGGCCAGCACAGAATACACTAGACCCATCTAAAAAACCAAACAAGCAAAGAACCCAAATAAAATGAGGAAGTAGCAGAGTAGCATGCCTCATCTCTATCCTATATCTCTTAGGATGTTTGAGGGCTACCTGAAAGAGTATTGCTGTATCAGGATCTCTAGGCCTGATATCCCAAGAGAAGCAACCAGGGCAGCAGAAACTCTTTTGAAATCTTCCATCCCTGTACAAAAAGGATTCATGAAGACACCAAGCCTGCAATGAACATTATTTATTCTCTTTTCCTGTGTCATTGGTGTTCTAGTAACTAGGTAAGATTTTCTCCGTGCATGTGAGTCCACAGATTGGAGAAGTCTGGGTCCCACGGCACAAAGTTCTCAACGGTAGAAGAGAAGCACAGCAGCTTCAGTTATCTCCCGGCTACTGCTGTACCCACTGTGAGTTCCGTATCCACTCCCATCAAATGAAGAGAAGTCTCCACACTGTGTGGGGTAACTTTCAGGGAAGAATCCTCCTCCACCGATGCAGTGCTAAAAACCAAAGAGGGGGAAGTAGCAATGAGAGGTCAGTGGGTGATATGGTTTGAGTATGAAGTGCCCTGCCCAAAGATGTTATGCACTGAAGACCTGGTCCCCAGAGTACGTAACATTCAGAGGCAGGACTCTGGGGAAGGGCTTGAATATGAGGACCCTGCCTTCATCAACTGGCTCATCACTGATGGAATTATAATTTTGAACTGACTATTGGGAGGTGGTGAAGCTGGGTCTGGTTGTGGGGATCTGTTTTGAGGAAATAGATCACTGAAGGTGTGAGCGGCTTGTTTTGAAGGGCATTTTGCCCTGGCCTTTCCTGGTTTTTCTTGGCTCCTTGCTGCTATGAAGTGAGCAATATTGCTCTGATATGTGTTTCCTGAATGATATTTCTGTCCCACTATGGATTGAAAAGGAGTAGAGCCAAATGTCTATGTGTTAAAATCTTGGAAACCATCAAACCAACAAAGCCCTTTGTCTTAGTCACTGTTACTATTGCTGTGATGAAACAAATGACCAAAGGAACTTGGGAAGAAAGGGTTATTTGGCTTAAACTTTCTCATCATTATTCATCATTGAAGGAAGTCATGGCAAGAACTCAGAATTCTCCTACTAACCCCTTGACACAATGCAAATCAGTACAAGCTCTGGAAAGGGATGGGAATGATATGTTTCACTCTAAAAGCTAAATTCCAGGTGGAGAGTGACAGTACCTGGTGACTCAATCTCAGCCTCCAAAGGCTTGTAGCAGACTTCATGAATACAATGTCACCCTCATTCCAGGTAACTGAGTGTTTTATCCTTAAATCTAAGCAAACAGCAACAGTGCATTACAAGTTTGTAATGTTGAGTATAGTTTTCAATAAGACAGGATATCTGTATCTAGACAGAAGTTCTGATCCCTGAGACCAAGCAAGGTATAGGGAAAGGTAGCACTCTTATACACCTACACACACTAAAAGGACAGTCTCCCATACTCAATGTTCACAGATTCACACTGGCAACCTCAGTCTTATTCATGAGCGTCTTTCATCACCACACAGACTCACATGCTCCGTGTTACATCCAGTGACCTTCATCCCTGCACACAAGGCATTGGCCGCTCTCTCATTATTAAACACTCTGAACTGGATGTATCCTGCAGTGAATTCCTCTAAAAAGAAGAGACAGAAAACAGCATTCAAGGAAAATGCTAGAAATTGTTGCAAGACAATTGTTTGGTGGTGCCAGTTTCAGGATAAGCAGTCTAAAATATCAGACCCACTGGGGAAACCTCACCTATTCCCATCCACAGACTCCAAGAGCCAGTCCTTGAAAAAAGGTCCCCAATTGCCTGAGCTTGAATAGAGAAATTTGTGATACAGGAAGGTCTCTACTGAGTATCTCCTAGGGCTTGCCACAGCAGTTACCAAGTGCATGGTTCTGGTCCTGTTCATATTCATCTTGCCAACTTTTCTTTTAAAGCCTTACATCCCCAGCATAAATAAGAAGAGCTTTGAACTACACTGCATAAGCTCAGCATTTATAAAGAGTATTACCACACTTGCATTTATGTTAAACAATGTAAAGTCGTCCCTCACGTATGAACTAAAACTCCATGTTTTTCTGTTGCTCAGCTCTGTGCACAGGGACCTGGTTTGTCTGAATGACAGTGGGGTTGGAAAGAGTAGATTCCAGAACCAAGTATCCCCAGTGCAAATGCTGCCTGTCCTGCTGATGCCCTGGGCTCTCAGACAAGTTCCTGGACCTTCAGTGCTCCAGTCTCCTAAGCTGTAAAATGGGTTAGTGATAGTTGAGAGCTCAAGTGTTATCATGTAAATGATGTGAAACAAAGCACAAACATTCAGAGAAGAGAAGCAGGCTTGGCGGATGGTGAATGACTGTTACTTATCACAACTGAATTTATCACATGTCCTGCAGAGGGAGCACAGGAGTATTAAAGACTCACTCTGGCCATAAGGGGAGTAATAAGAGGCTGTCTTCTGAGCATCACCGAAGTCATAGACCACAGGTAATGCTGGGCCATTGTCAGTCCTACAGTTCCCTCCTCCGTATTTCACTGGGTATCTCTACAAGGAACAAAAGAAGTCACTGGGTAAGTATGGCAGCATTGGCAATCTCAGGAACACTGCCCTGCTCAGAGAAACACAGCATTTGTGCAGTAACTGAGATGGTTGCCAAACCAGTCAGATAAGAAAGGATCATTTCATTTGTCTGTGTCTCTCTGACACATCCCTCCTTCCATCCCTCCCCCTTCTCTCTTCTCTTCTGTTCTCTTCTTTCTTCCCTCCTGCATACTCTTCTCTCCTCTTTTTCCCTACACTTTGCCTATCTTGGCTCATTACACTTAGAATTAGGGAAACATGGGACACCACCCACCCAACCTGAAACACCTGCCTCTCTCTCCACACCCCTGAAAAGCAGCCTCAGCCAGCAGTCTCAAGTACCTGGTACAGGCCAAACAGATTATGGCCCATGTCGTTCAGGAAGCCATTGAAGGTGCGGTACCTCAGCAGGGAGCTGTTCCTCCAATTTTGCAGGGGGCTATTGTTGGGCACATGCCAGATCCCCAGGTTCTCAGCCTGGATGTCGTAGTAGCCAGGGTTCTGGAAAGCAACCAACACTGAGCCTGACAAGACCAGGAGATTTCACTAAGGAAAGACCCACATGCACAGTCCTCAGCACAGCTGATGTCTCTGGGCTCCAGGGGGACAGATGGCCAGCCATGCTCAGATGTCCTTACCTAAAAGCCTACTTGGACGGATGTTGAGATTCAAGATAAGTAAATTTTTGACTTCCTCATCCCTATGTTGAAGGTCAACTTTCCTTTCCTCTCCCTGACACGCTTGATCTACACTCACATCCTCATGCTCTCCCAGGTGGCTACAGAGTGTACCAACCTTGTAGTCATCACTTGTGGCCCCCTCTGCAGACCCAAAGGTGTTGTAGTTGGCCCAGTTGCCATCCCCCTCTGGGCTGTCTGCTCTGTTGCCTTGCTGACTGGACCAGCGATCGCCCACTGTGCACTTCCCATACATGTTGTTCTCATGCACACTGGCCACCAGGGTCCAGCCACCACCTGCAGTGGTCATGTCACAGAAGGTCTGGTAGATGACACCATTCTTCGTGCGGAGGAAATAGAGACCATCTGTAGAGAGAACCAGTTCACAGTCCTCCTGTGTGCAGGCTCATTGTCCATCTCTGCTCCAGCAGCAGAATGGCTCTAGGAACTACAAACATGGCTAATGACTCAAACACTGAGTGTTCTCCCACAGGTGTTCCTGGGGATGTGCCTGAGTTCAGAAAGCCAAGCGTCTGTGACTGAGGCAGAACACAGAATTACCCAAAGTGACAGTGATGTTTTTGTTCTAAAGTTAAACACAGTATTATCAAAGGACTTAACAGCTCCACTAGGCAGATACCCAAAGAACTGGGAACAGGAACTCAGATATGTACATTCATTTTCATTAGAGGTCCTGTTACAAGCCAAGTACTTCTCTACAGAAAAAGGAATAAGCATTATGGTGTGCTGTCTAGTATGCAGAATATATATTGTGTACATTCCCACATATAGAATAGATAAAAAAGAATGGCACCAATTTTAAGAGCAAGTACTGCTCTAGCAGAGGATTTTAGTTAGTTTAGTTCCCAGCACTAACACTTGGCAGTGTACAAGTGTCTGTCACTCCAGCTCCTGAGGAGTAGATGGCCTCTTCTAGACTCTGCATGTATGTGCACACACATGCACACATTTCCACACACAGACATGTAATCCATTCACAATCATAATAATATATTGTAGCAGGAAAAATAAAAGATCCAGAGAGAGAGATATTGGGGTTCAAGCTTCAAGCTGATGATAGGAAAAGCAAAGCAGCCAACCACTAGTTCTTATCTCTATCTCAGTTCACTCCAAATGGCTGATTCTAAAACTGCTCCCGACTTCATAGCTCCTCAGTTTCACTCAGACTGCCAAGTAGTTAGAGACTTCTGAGACTGCATGCAAGCTCTGAGATCTTACATAATTCCCTAATGCTGGGATTAATGGCATGTAATCCCAGGTGCTGAAATCACCTTTTGTGAGCTGTTTATCTTTAGGACTAGATCAATTTTGTGTAGACAGAGTAGCCTTGAACTAACAGAGATCAGTCTACCTCTTAATCCTGAGTCCTGACATTAAAGTTGTGTACCTGGCTTCAAAGGCTTGTGGCTGACTTTACTTTCTGAATCCTCAGGCAAGCTTTAATATGTCATAAATAATAAATCACCACAATAAACATTTTCAACAGAAATTTACTGTTCTACAACACATATGAGACTTGAAGCATGCTAATGAAATAAGACAGATTGCTCATATGAGGTAACAAGAATTGACAGGTTCACAGAAGTTGGACACAGGACAGCAGCTCACAGGGAATACAGGAAATTTTCATTTTGTGGCTATAGACTTTTCATTTAAGGAATGAACATTTTCTGGAGATGGATAGTGGTGATCCATACCATCATGAAAGTTGTTATTGACTCTCAAAACTCTTCAAATAGGTTAAGTGCAATTTTTATCCACCATGTATATTCTATCACATTTCTTTTTTTTTTTTTTGTTTGTTTTTTGAGTCAGGGTTTCTCTGTGTAACAATCATAGGTGTCCCGGCACTCATTCTGTAGACCAGGCTGGCCTTGATCTCACAGAAATCTGGCTGCCTCTGCCTCAAGAGTGCTGAGATTAAAGCATGTGCCACCACTGCCTGGCTCTATTACATTTTTATATCAAAAAAGAAAACCTGTTCCAGAGGACAAAAATCCTGATTTCCTAACTGGGTCCTTTGTTTGTATTTTGAGAAATGATCTCCCCAAACTGGCTTGGAGCTTTTATTCCTCTGCTTTGGACTTTCAAGTGTTAGGATTACGGTGTGTTCTTTAAACGCTTCATCACTTACCTTGTGCCCCAGCCATCTCCTGTTTGATTTCCTTGCAGCTTCTGAAAACAGAGGAACACACCGGATTGGCCCAACTGTTGGTATCCAGGTTCTCTTGAGCTAGAGAAGATGCAGAGTTTCACTCTCATGGGACACCCAGCCTCCTCTTGTCATTCATCCTAAACTCATCCCATGACTTCCCAAAGCCTCACTCTGAGAATCAACAAGATTTCCAACTAGGAAGAGAGACAAGAGATTCGAATGTGGAGAATTTTGACTTCAAAATCCTGAAAAAGATGAATGACGTGAAGCCCAGTTGCAGAAAGCCTAATGTGCCTGAAGCATGGGTAGTGAGGTTGACAGTGCAGAGGCTTGACCAAGAGACCAGGGAATAAAAAGCCTTGCAAACTAGACTCAACCCTACAATGTCCTCTTAGGACTTAGAAGGGAGGAAACCAGTGAGAGCTTTGGGGTCAGAGCTGCTCAGGTGTAAGTAGCTCTGTGTTCACAAGTCATTTATTTTTGGATCGTATTTGCTGTGTTTAACCTTAGTTCCCCAAAGTCTCATATCAAGCTGAGAAAGATTATCGTGTGGAGATCAATTAAGATGGCATATAAGGTCTTGCCCTTTTCCTTAAAGACACTAATACAGTAGTGAAAAGGAAGTGCTCATTTTGAAATAATGTTGAGTTCCTGTAGAGAGAATTGAAGACAACATTGTCTGGGCACAATTCAGACCATTCACTTGTCATTGAAACTCCAAGTCCAAGGTCTTAATCATAGGGAGTGACTAGGACGGGACACAGTTCTTTTTTTTTTTTTAACCTACTTTTTAAAAATTCAATAATTTACAATCATTTTACATATTGATTCCCCCGTTCCCTCTCCCTCACATCTTCCCATGCCCCCCACCTTCCACCCCAACCCACCCACTACCCACTGCCCAAGCCTGGGGAGGCCTTCCATGGGGGATCAGAAAAGTCTGTCACATCATTTGGGGGAGGGAAAGGCAATATCCAGCAACCAACAGCCAACATCACACTAAATGGAGAGAAACTCAGTGCAATTCCACTAACATCAGGAATGAGACAAGGTTCGCCACTCTCTCCATATCTCTTCAATATTGTACTTGAAGTTCTAACTAGAGCAATAAGAAACAAAAGGAGATCAAGAGGACACAGTTCTTACAGAAGGTCCCCTAGAGCTACGCACAGGTACAGAATCTGTACCAGGCCATTCCTCAACAAACTCATTGCCACTGGCCAATTCCTTCAAGAGGCAATCAGTACCCAGCCTACAACTCAATGGCATCATCTCTGGGGGATGGACTAGGTTCTATTTACACGTCCAGGAAAATATACATAAATACATACATATATGCCCACAATTAAACACAAAGAGGCCTTTACTTTTGTTTTGAGTTGGGGGGTGTAATTGGGAAATGTTGGAAGGAGGAAAATGAATGGGAAAATAATGCAATTATATTTAATTAATAATAATAATAATAATAATAATAATAATAATAATAATAATTTTAAAAAAGGCATGATTGGCCAAGCTGTGGTGACTGACTTCTTTAATCCCGGCACTCAGGGGTCATTTGTATGCAGATCTCTGAGTTTGAGGCCAGCCTGGTCTACAATCCAGTTCCAGGACAGCCAAGGGTACATAGAGAAACCCTGTCATAAAAAACAACAACAAACAGCAAAAGCATGTTCTCTGGCCCACAGAGACCCAGGTCATGGAAGTAACCCAGTCTGGTGCTAACTGTCTTTAAATATAGAGGTGATTTGAGGAAGCTGGGGTTCTGTAGCAAGCCTCACCTGCAGTGCAGCCTTTGGTGGCCACAATGAGAAACAGCAGGAAGTCGAGTTTGCTCATGGTCATCTAGGGAAAGCAAGATTGAAGGTCACTCTCTATCCAGACCTCCTTTTTCTCTCATCCCACTTTCAGCTCCTATCCAGTCCTACTGAAAGGCTCCTTCCTTTCCTCTAAACTCCTCACCTCTCTGCTCCCTAAAGCAAACCTGAGCTAGAGTCCACTTTCCTTGTTCCATTGACGCAACTGCCTTCCCCTCCATACTTGGACAGCTGAGTGGAGATGAGTGGAGATGAGCCTCTCTCTGTCTGCAGAGACTCTAGGCTCTTGTCCTTTTATGTGAAGAGTCTGGTGGGAATCGCCCAGACTTTGCCAGGCTCCCCCTTTCCTGGCAGGATGCCACTGGAGGGCAACTTTTGTTTATTGCAGGAAAGTTCTTTGGACAGTGTTAACTCATGGGATTCAAAGTCTCTAAAAAACAAATATTAAATGTTGCACCCAGCACTATCACCATGTTTGGCAATTCCATCGATCTGTGTATTAAAAAAAGGAAATAGATTAGGAAACTTACAAGATTTGACATCTGTTTTGATTTTTTGTGTGTGCCTTTCTTACAAGGTAATACTTAAAACCCACAGATATTTATTTATTTTTTCCATTTTAATTATTTTTAATTACTCATATTTATATATACATCCCCCCATTCCCTCGCCCTCCCCTCCTCCCATGTTCCCCACCCAAC